CATAGCTCAGCTTCGGGCCCGGGCTCTTCCGTCTGAAAGTCGCTCACCATATTTGGGTTGTTCACCTCTCCTTCTGGAGTTGCACTCCAGGGTCTTCTTGTCTCCAATAAAGAACCGAACAAAGTGAGCACAAAGAAGTGGCAAGGTGTGTTTGAAAACGTGAAAGTGAAGACTGAGAAAGAAACGGGCTCTGCAGAGTGAGCCTGCAGGGGGAAAGGCAAGGTAACAAACAGGGCACTCGAGGAGACAGCGCAGTGCGGGCTACGGCAAGGAAAGCCTTGCTAGCCCAAGGCAGAATCTTCCATCTGATCAACAGCCGTGGGAAACCTGCCTTTACAGACAGAAGAAAAGAAACCGCAACAGCCCAAGGTCCTGAACCTGAGGAAAGTTCCATGCGAGGCTGTTGGCTCAGGACACCAGCGCCCGGCTCTTCGCCGTCTGTGCCCCTGCCACCCAGTGAGGCCTGAGGCCCCTCACAAGACTGCCCCATCTCGGCCCCGTCGGTCTTGTTCTGACCCTGCAGGGTAAGCAGGGTCGGGCCTGGTTTGCACCTGGACAGGAACAGCCTGCCTGGTCCCAGAGCAGCAGTCTCTCCTCCCACTGGCCCCACACCTGACTTCTGGGAGGCCAGAGCCCAAGCGCAAGTGATCATCTCCCTTGTGGTAGCTGCGTCTAACATGCAGTGACAGTGTCACTTTGAAATCCATTTAACACCCTCGCCCACGTGTTGGGGCCATCTTCTTGTGGCCCCATTTTAGCAAGACTCAGTAAATCCTGTGTCAGGTGCTGGAGAAGGTACAGGCGATGGACAGTGGACAAAATGGGCACCAGTCATTCCCAAATGGAGCTCATCTTACTACATGTGCCCAGCAACTAGCAGGCAGCTAGAAGAGACGGTGTCAGCCGGAGCGCAGCACTCGGAAGAGGCAGTGTGGCGCAAACCAGCAGAGGAGTGTTGAGCTTCTTAAAAAGCCTGGTGGCCTTCTAACCTAGGCCCTCGCACTGGAAGCAAAATGGCAAACGGAGAGGGCTGGGAGCAGAGGGAAGCAGCGCAGTTCCCCTGGTGGCGACATGAAGAGCAGCAGAGGCACCTTGTGGGGTGGGCACGGGGACCACCACAAACAGCCTCGGGCTCTCATCCTGAAGGGAGGAGAGGGGAGCCGAGCCCCCGGCGGGCCCTGAGCACAGCACTGATCCTGATGCGGCCTGCCTAGTGGAGCAGGGCTTTGTTTTTGCTTCTTTTATTTAATGTGGAAATTTGTTTTTCCGATCTGCCAGACCACAGCTAATGACATCCACCTGTCTGTGATTAGGAATAAGGGCGACCATGTGACAGACACACTCGGACCTCCAAGAACTCAGCGCTCCAAACAGTGCCTGTCTTTCTGTTGTCTGTGACAATGGAATGAGGCGTTGCTGTTGACAACGGCGTGTTTGTGCGTTAGTGAGAACCCTGTGGCAGGAGAGACCCTGGCAGTTACACAGGCAAGAGATGCCTGTGCCCAGGGAGCAGCAGTGCGGCGAGGTCAGAAGAGGTGGAGAGGATCTGGTCTGGCTGGAGTGTTGATGGATGGGAGCCAAGCACACACCCTAAACCTAACCTCCCACCTGTTCTGGAAGCAGTTGTACTGTGATGCAGTAATGTGTTTATCTATGCGCTGTCAAAGGCTGCCCTTGTGCAGTGGGGCAGATGCACAGTTGTGACCTCATGACATGCAAAGCCAGAAACACACACTGACCCTGTGGCCCTTTCCAGGGACACTGCCTTCCCGCAGCTGACACATGAGACAAAGAGAAGGGGTAACATTTCAGGCTGAAGCTGCTAAAAGATGATGGCCTGCACTTCCTGAGACCATTTCCTGAAGAAGGTAAGGGGCGGGGACACTCGCAAATCTGGCTGTGGGTGTGCTCTGCCGGTGCTCATTAGCCACACATGTGGAGCAGTCAAGTAGGTCCCCGGGATAGGACTCTGAGGGTGAAGAACAGGCCTGGGCTGGACACAGAAACTTTAGCAATCATCAAATTAGAAGCAGCAATTAAAGCCAGGAAGGCAGATGAAATCAGTAAAAGAACAAAAACAGGTGAAGAGAACAAGATCTGAAATACTGAACTCTGCTACCACACATTTCCCAAGTCAGGAAGATGAAAAGGAGCCACCACAAGACCTGAGCGGAGCAGAGATGGGAGCAGGGTGTCCTCCAAACCAAAAGACAAGTGTTTCAAGGGGAAGGCAGGAGCCACATCCGATGAGGTGACAGATCTGATGGAACAGCAGGACAGTGACTCAGAGAACAGCCTCCCCTACCTGCAGCAGGATCAGCAGGGGCACCAGGACAGCAGCAGGACCTGGGAGTCCTCCAGAATCCCATCAGAGAGGGGTAAGGGGATGGAGGCTGACAGGGGACCCGAGGCCACCACAGGAGCAGCAGCTGCACAGATCCAGCCTGTGACAAAAGCCACCTGAGACAGAAAACCTGGAGAGACAGGACAGGGACCACTGGAAGCAGGACACTGGGCGGTGAGAAGACAGAGGCCCAAGGCCAGGGACAGCTGAGGCGGGAACTGTGCAGGAAGGTGGGCGAAGACCCCAGGCCTGGGCAGGCGCCCCTGGCCTGTGTCTGCATGATGACACAGGAAGACTGAAAGCATGTGGGGAATGAGGCGCCACCCTTGGAGGATGCGGCAGAAAACCAACAGTGGAGAGGGAACACGCTCAGGAAGCCCGCACGGCTGGCTGCCCACTTGAAGGGCACTCTGGAGCTGGTGGTCAGAGACACCCTGGTTCTGGGTCCTCCTCTAGCTCTGTTCCAGTGCAACAGACAGAGGCCAGGCTGGAAAGGGAATTTAACCAGAACCATGGTTTAGCCATCAAGACAAGTGCTGAGGAGCTGGGGGTTTAGCTCAGCAGCATAAGCGCCTGCCTTGAAAGCAGGCAGTCGTGAGTTCGATCCCCGGTACCGATAAAAAGGAAAAAGACAAAAAAAAAAAAAAAAAGACAAGTGCTGAAAGGGCTCTCTGGACAAATTCTGAACCTGCAAGTGCAGACGTGGCCTGACCTTAGTGAGGCAAACACCGCAGGCTTAGAACTCGTGCCAAGAACAAGGGAAAATCACCAGGGGAATTCTGAACCATTCAGTCCACGAAAGGACCATCACAGCGTCTCAAAGATGCACAGTTCAGAGGCTCAAGACTGACTGATGCTTAGGGCTGAACTTCCCTCTTCTACAGTTAACAGAACACCATCATCATCATGCATGAAGGAACAGAAATTTCAAATACTTTGTTAACTTGTGTTTTTTTTTTTTTTTATTTTTGAGACAGCATCTCATTATGTAGTCCAGGCTGCCCTTAGACTCCTGTAGATCCTCCTGCCTCAGCCTCCCAAGTGCTGGGATTATACGTATGTGTGACCATACCATTTCTAACTGCAAGTACTTTTGACAAATGTAGATCAAGAAGACAATGGTAGGGGGCTGGGGATTTAGCTCAGCGGCATAAGTACCTGCCTTGCAAGCAGGCAGTCATGAGTTTGATCCCCAGTACCGGTAAAAACGAAAAAGACAAAAAAAAAAAGAAGACAATGGTAGGTAATTCAGCAGCACAGCACCTGCCTGGCAAGCACAAGGTCAAAAAAAAAAAAAAAAAAAAAAAAAAAAAGAAAGAAAATGGAGAAAAAAGAATCAAGTTATATTATATACAGATACAAATTCTCTACGATGAAAATGATCATTATATAAATCTGAAATGTACCAATAAAATCCACAGGTGGGGAGGCATTTTGAAAACTGACTACACCACAGCAAATTAAATAACTGTGGAACTAACAGACACATATCAAGTAGAATTGATGATCCCCACAGGCCTCTTAACATCTATTTTTTCATAACTTAAATAATCCAAAAATAGTAATTGTAGTATTACAATGGCATTTGCTATGCTTGATACAAAAGTTCACATACAAAAATATTTTCAAATATACAAAAAGAAAAACTAACAAATAAACAACATGAGTCAGTACCATTTCTCAACAGTTAAGAGCCCTGCCAGGGAATAGAGGCACTCAGGAGGCCGAGGCAAGAAGATCACTACGAGTTCGAGACCAGCCTGGGCTACAAAGTGAGTTGAAACCAGCCTGAACCACAGCTTGAGACCCTGTCTCAAAAAAAAAAAAAAAAAAAAAAAGCCCTGGATACCAAGCAGGAACTTAGGTAGTCTTCTTTTTTTCTATTTTTTGGGGGGTGGGAGGGAATCAAACTCACGACATCACACTTACCAGGCAGGCACTGTGCTGCTAAGCTGTATCCCTGGCTCATTTACTTTAACTAAATACAACTTTACTAAAACTAAGCAGAATATTATAATCTACCTCTGGGGATGGTAGCGCTCACCTGTGACCTCAGCTGAGGCAGGAGGATCACCATGGAGTTCAAGGCTACCCTGAACTGTATAGTAAGACCCTGTCTCAAAACAAAACAAAACACCAGAACCAGGAGAATTATAAGCTGTCACATCAGGTGAACACATGCTGGGGAAGGGCCTAGCCAATGGGTACCACTTCAGTCCCAGGTCGGCTTCTACCTTGACAACTTCTACCCAAACATTCACTGCGATGTAGCATTAAGAGAAGGGATCTGTGATTAGAAGGCTGTCACCAGACCAGCACTGCAGCCTCGAGTGTTCAGGTGATTTTATTTGAAGGGCTAGGACTGGGGCTCAGGGTCAGTACCTGTGCTTGGCATGGACCAGGCCCTTCAGGACCACTAAAAACCCATTAGAAAGGAGAGCAAGAAAGAAGAGTACCCCCTAAATTCATGAAACCAGCAGAATCAAATTCACTGTTTATCATCTTGCCCTCGGACTTAGCACCTAAGAGACCAAGCGCCTGATTTAAAAAAAAAAAAAAAAAAAAAAAAAAGTAGAGAGAAGAAAAATGGTGAGTTTCAATAGATCTTTGGCAAAACAAATAGACAAGAACAACACACCCAGAGAATGTGGCTTACCTGCAGCACCTATCGGGGAAGTAGCTGGGGTCATGTTGTGGACATTGAGGCCGAGATTCTGCGAGGGGCCTGGGGCTGACGCTGCGATCGGGGCCCCTGGAGGGTTCTCCCTCTGGGGCGAGGTAAGCGGGGTGGTGGGCTGGGAGGTCTGTCCACCGGCAAGTCGTGCCAGGCGCCTCCGGCGAATCTGCAATGGGAGAGGAAAATGGGCATCCCGTGACCAAGAGGACCAGCCACAGCCAAGAGCGACATATGCACTGGGTCACAAACCACCAAACCTCACCAGCGCAGAAACCACACACACTGCAGAGAAAGTACCCATCTTCGAGAAAAACTCAGCAAAGCAATATTCTTACAAGGTACCAGCTCGCTATTTAACTCCATCCCTGAACTGGCTTATCATGGTTTTCTTTGTTTTGTTTTGTCTTTTTGATGCAGGGCATCACTACACAGTTCAGAGTGGCTTAGAACTCACTTTGTAGCCAAAGCTGGCCTTGAACTTGCAGCAATCCTCCTGCCTCAGCCTCCTGAGCGCTGGGATCACAGGTGTGTGCTACCACACCCAGCTCCACTGTGGCTCATGCACTGTCCCTTGCATGAGTATTATGAATCGCCAATATGCATACCACCCTTCTAAACATACTGAAGTCTGCTGTTATTTTAATAACATGACATCACATGGTCATCTAATTGGACAGAACAGTCAAGTCAGTGAGGGAAAAAAACACAAGTTACTCCTTAGTGATGTCTAACAAGTAAAAAAAAAAAAAAAAAAAAAAAAAGTTACAGCACGACACAAATTTTACCAGAAGTTTCAGGAGCAAAATGATCAGGTTATTTTTACCTGGTTGGAACGAAAGTACAGCCTGGTGCTTCTTCCTTGGAATATCATGGAGCTACCAAGCCATTACAAACACGTGTCCCAAAATCCCAGAGGGTCACCCATGTGTCCCTCACACTTTCCGAGCAGTTAATTCCCAACTGGCTGGCACCTGCTGCTCAGGTAGCAAGGACAGAGCAGGCTGCTCCTCTCCTTCCAACAGAAGTAAGGAGAAGGAAAGGCTGCCTTGTGACAAATCCTAACTGGACAGAGTTGTCTGACGAGACCTGTCTGCCGCACCCCTGTCTCCACTGAGATGCAGCCTGCAGCAAACTCCCATGGCCCTGCAGACGTCTGCATGGGTCAGCCCTGAAAAATGTTGGACCTCGTTGCTTTTCTGCTTTTGTGGCACTTCTCACTTCCTGGCTCAGCCTCACGAAGACCCACTGAGGCAGGCATTTGCACTGTGCCCATTTCGCCTATGAGCAAAGCAGGCAAGAAGGGCCAGCTGCTGGGGAGAGGCGCAACTGCCACCTACTCATCTCTCCACACCCTCGGCCCAGGGATCCCCAGGGGCCTCCGTTCCAGGAGGGCTATGGCCACAACTACTTTCACAAAACTACTAAGACCATGGGCCTCTGCCGTCTGCCCTCGCGTTCTCCGGCAGATGTCCACCGGAGTTCTCCAGATGTAACTGTGCAACAGACTAAGAAAAAGCTACTGTGAGGACCCAGCTGTCTTCCAAAGACTCACAAAAACAGTGTCATGGTTCTCACTAAATTCACTGCAGGATGTGCAGTTACTTTCCTTGAAAAATATGGATATAAACCAGGCACAGTGGTGCATGACTGTGATCCCGACACCCTGGGAGGCTACGGCAAGAGGGTTACAAATTCAAGCCCCGTGTGGGCAATTTAGTGATGTGGCTATAGACCCTGTCTCAAATAAATACACTCACATACAAAAGCAAGTCAGGCCTGGTGGTACACACCTGCAGTACCAGCACTTGGGAGGCTGATGCAGGAGCACTTCAAGTTCAAGACCCTGTCTCAAACCAACTAAACAAACCAAAAAGAGTTGGTAAATTTTATAATGTATTTTATCCCAATTTTTAAAAATAAAAATAAGGGGCTGGAGATACAGCTCAGCAGCACAAACACCTATCTGGCAAGCATAAGGTCCTGAGTTGGATTCCTGTCACCAAAAGGAAAAATTAGTTAAGTTTCAGATTCAGTTATGATAGTCCACTGCCAAAGCAGATGCCAATAAAAGCAACTGGAAAGGTAAATGGGAAGAAGGGTCCCCAAAAGTTACAGTGTAAACAGGTAAGCTACTTAGCAGGCACCTGAGAAGGACCTGAGACTCAATCACTGTAAAATCTCTGCTCCCTGGAATACCCACCAGCAGGGACTTTCTGTTTTGCATTTGGTAACCAAGGAAGTCCTTAAGGAAACACAGTTACCCAGAAGATTCCCTTAGAATCACTGTGGGCTCAAAGTACAGTGCAGCATGAAATGTAACACAGGACTCCCGGGCTGCACCCTAACCTGGGGTTACAGGAAACTGTACTCAAACAGAAGCCTCAGAGCAAACACATGGACTGCTCAGGTTGTTTTTTGGTTTTTGTTTTTATTGCCCAGAAGTGTTCACAATCTGTTTCTTTTCTCTCCCACCAATGGAAAAGTAATTTTTCCAACACCTGAAATAGCTCTGAAATCAGATGACGGCGTCACTGTCACCACCCCAGGACTCCTGACAGCCGAGTCAGGCAAAGATGGCATGTGTGGTTAGACAGGGCACAGCCCTGGAGGAGTCAGGGCAGAGGATGAGAACACACCACAGTTGTGGCCGGAGGCCAGCTGCTGACGGCCAGGTCTCACTCAAGATAGAGAATGAATGCCGAGGCGCCTGCCTCCCCAGGGTAAGATGATTGGGACCACCTGGTCCAGTAAAGGCTCCCTAGACATCAGTTACCCAGGTGGATGACCAGGACCTCCTGATCCACTCCTTCCTAAAAATGCCCTGGCTCTTTCCTTGTATGTGTACTAGCAATCTGCTTCCCCAAGCAGTTATACTGGTGATCTTAGCAGCTCCTCACAGCTTTGCCCCACCTCGTACCCACCTTGTGATTTTGCTCTAGGGAACTTCCCGTGTAAAGTGGGATCCCCGCCTGTCTCTCAGGAGTCTCTCAATAAATTTTTCCTACTTTTGACCTCTGTTCCTTAAATTTCATTCTGCAATTCTGGGAGACACAGACTTGGCCTCTCTGATATCTAGCAGGCTGTGTTACATTTACTGCAACTATGTCACCAGGGAGGGGGACACACACAATTTGCTAGGAATCTGTCATGCAGGGATTCCAGCACTTTGGTGAGAATCCTTGGGAACAGCAGGAACATAAATCATTCCCATGGACCCCAAAGCATCTTGGGACAAGGTTGGAGGTGCTCAGTCAGATGTGGTTGGCAACAGCCCTGAACCAGCCTCCAAATCAAAAGTAGCACACACAAAAAAAAGTAGCACAAAAGGACATCCCAGAACTCCTTACAACTCTAGCAAGGTCCTAGGCAATTCATTGTGCTGATATTTTCCTTATTCACTTAATGCAAATATCTTTAATCCACAATTTCAAAAATCTAAGCACCGAGTCAGAGTCTAAAAGCAAGCATGTCACCATGGTTTCCCCTACAGCCCACAGCAATCACCATGATTCTTTAAAACCCAATCACCTGTGCACACACTCCAAGCCCTGCAGCTGCCTGAGGCCTCAGAATGAAACTGAACCCTGCCCAGACCCAAAGAGTCCCTCGCCTGAGGCCACAAGCACTGTCCCAGGCACTCAGCTCAGCCAGCTTCCTCTGCTGCTGTGAGGAGTCAACCCCACCCCGGGAGGCCTGCAGGAGCACCAGGCCTGGCCAGCCCTCATCACATTTTGTGACTCCTTTTGGCACCTCACCTAGGCGGTTGCCTTTGTTTTCAAAGGATGCATGTTGATCTTGCAGTGGCTACTATCAGGCGGGATTCTACATACATGTAAACGGTGGTGACACACATCTCCAGCTCCCAAGGGCGAGAATGAAAACTGCTATTTGCCCTGTTGTCTCTAACCCTCAACAGTCAGGTGCGGCCCTACACCACACACGATCTTCCCCGCAAAACCCAGGGTACCCGGCAACCTCTGCTAGGGATACATGGGCCACTGGCAGAGGGAAAAGGGTGGCAAGCTCCACCCCATGCTTTCTGTCCAGTCACTGGTCATATGGGTCCCAGGGCCCAAGTCCCTGCGCGGCCAGGGAGACGGGACCCCGTGGGCAGCGGGCCCTGCTCCTGGGCATGGGTGGCCCTGCTGCAAGCAGCCTGTGGCTGACACCTCCTGTCCTATCACTACTCGGTGTCCCCTCGCCTGCCTTCTATGGGTCTGGGCTCACTTGAGGCCTCTGCGGCCCCCGCCCCAGTTTTACTTGACAGCTCTCCATACACAGCCGCAGCTCAGCCCTAACCAACGTGTACGTGTGTGTGCTTATACATCTTGTTGCGGCTTAGACCTAAAGTGTCCCTGAAGTCTCCAGGGCAGAGGTAAGGCCTAACAGAAGGGACGCCACCCAGGCAGGGTCACCGAAGTCCCATTCCCCACTTCTCTTGCTTCCCTCCGGCCCTCCCTGCCTGCAGCTGGAAGCTCCTGGCCAAATCCCCGACAGGGAACCTCTGCTGCTCTCAACTGTGGCTGTCGGCTATTCTGTCCCAGTGACAGGAGAGTGACAGGGACATAGGGACATACATACATTCACACACGGGCAGAAACAAAGAGGATTGGGGGGGGGGGTTACAGCTGATGAATGTAGGCCGCTCACCCGAACCCTGCAGACCGGCACAGGTCGCTGTCACAATCGGCTGCAGGAAACGACGACCTGCCAGGTCCTTCCCCAGCCACACTCAGCTGCATATGGCAGGTGGCAGGCAGGACAAGCCATGCTGCGCAGGGTACAGTAGAAAGGACACACACAGCATCACCACGGCGCTGTGGTGGACAGAGGCAGCCCAGCAGCACTAACCCTTGACCTGGCCCACTTTCCTCCCAGGACAGAGGGTATAGCTTGGGAAGGGAGGGCTGTGCAGATCCACTCGATCTGGACCCAGCCAGACGCAGGCAGGAGAGACAAGCCGGGGCAAGCCTGCGGCAAGCTGGGACTGCCACCCACAGGCACTGACTTTGTTCAGGGAGGCCAGGAGGAGGTTCCCCGGGATGTAAGCAAGGGAGAACTGGGTCAACTGATCTTTTAGAACAAACAGTCCACCTGGGTACATACCTGTAATCCCAGCATTTGGAAGGCTGAGGCAGGAGGATTGCCATGAGGTTTTTTGTTTTG